GACCAAACTCTCTCTATGGGAGTATTTCTCATTTGGGGAATATTTCTCATTTAGGGAATATTTCTCATTTGGGGAATATTTCAAATTTTGGGAATATTTCTAATTCTGGGAATATTTCTCATTTTGGGAATATTTCTCATTTTGGGAATATTTCTCATTTTGGGAATGTTCCCGATTCCAGGCAGCCACACCATCCCAGTTTCTGGTTTTTATCTGACCAAACTCTCTCTATGGGAGTATTTCTCATTTGGGGAATATTTCTCATTTGGGGAATATTTCTCATTTGGGGAATATTTCTCATTTGGGGAATATTTCTCATTTGGGGAATATTTCTCATTTGGGGAATATTTCTCATTTGGGGAATATTTCTCATTTTGGGAATATTTCTCATTTGGGGAATGTTCCCAATTCCAGTTTCTGGTTTTCCTCTGGGCCCCAGCTGGTTCTGGAGCAGCCAGGCCAATCCCCAGGGCTGAGCCCGCAGGAGCAGCTGCAGTTCCCACCCCCCTCGCTGGGAATTTTCCAGAAGGAGTTCCTGTGCCATCATCTCCCATGGCACGGATGATGTCACGCCCCAGTGGATTTTTAACCTCGGATTTGCTGGTGTTGGGAAGAATCCCCAGACCACAAAACCTTTTTATGCACTGTGGGATCAGCTCCACTTTCCATTTAGGGTGCTCTGCTCTCAGAAACATTAGAAATTAATTAAAGAACATTAAAGCTTCATAAATATGTGCTCTTATTTCACCACTGAGGGATATTCCCCACAATTTCCCCCTGATTTAAGGATATTTTTCACTACCATGAGCTAAGGATAAAATCATTTCCCCCCCCCCCCCCCCCCCCCCCCCCCCCCCCCTTTTTTTGGCCCCCCCCCCCCTTTTTTGGGCCCCCCCCCGCCGTTTTTGGGCTCCCCCGCCGTTTTTGGGCTCCCCCCGCCATTTTTGGGGTCCCCCCGCCGTTTTTGGGGTCCCCCCGCCGTTTCGGGGTCCCGGCTCACTCGGTGATCTCCTCGGTGACCGTGTGCTCCACCTGCAGCCGCGAGTTGACCTCGATGAAGTAATAATCCCCGCTCTGGTCCACCAGGAACTCCACGGTGCCGGCGTTCTCGTAGCCCACCTGGGACCCCCGCCCGCGTCAGGGGGGCTGGGCGGCCACAGCTCCCGGGGTCCCCCCCAGCCCCGGCTCCTGGAGCCCCCCAGGGTCCCCAGGGGTCCCCAGTGTCCTCCTGGGGGCCTTCCCACCTTGTCTTGGTTCCTCAGTGTTCTCCTGAGACCCCAATGTCCACCTTGGTCACTCAATGTCCACTTGGGTTCCCCAATGTCCACCTCGGTCACTCAATGTCCATCTTGGTCACTCAATGTCCATCTTGGTCACTCAATGCCCACCTTGGTCACTCAATGTCCATCTTGGTCACTCAATGCCCACCTGGGTCCCTCAATGTCCACCTCGGTCACTCAGTGTCCATCTTGGTCACTCAATGCCCACCTGGGTCCCTCAATGTCCATCTTGGTCACTCAATGTCCATCTTGGTCACTCAATGTCCACCTGGGTCCCTCAATGTCCATCTTGGTCCCTCAATGTCCATCTTGGTCACTCAATGTCCACCTGGGTCCCTCAATGTCCACCTGGGTCCCTCAATGTCCACCTCAGTCCCCCAAGATTCTCCTCGATGTCCTCCCAGGATCCCACCCCCATTCCCCCGGGGTGTCCCCACAGTGTCCCCGCTGTCCCCAGGGGTGTCCCCGCTGTCCCCACAGTGTCCCTGCTGTCCCCCAGGACATCCCCGGGCTGTCCCCGCTGTCCCCAGGGGTGTCCCCAGAGTTGTCCCCACTGTCCCCAGGCTGTCCCCGCTGTCCTTGGGCTGTCCCCGCTATCCCCAGGGGTGTCCCCAGGGTTGTCCCCGCTGTCCCCAGGCTGTCCCCGCTGTCCCCGGGGGTGTCCCCAGGGGTGTCCCCAGGGTGTCCCCGCTGTCCCCAGGTGGGTCACCTGCCGGGCCAGGCGCACGGCGTCGTCGGCCAGGCGGGCGCGGAGCTCCGGGGGCAGCCGCGCGGCCGGGGCGATCTCCACGACCTTCTGGTGCCGGCGCTGCACCGAGCAGTCGCGCTCGTAGAGATGGACCACGTTCCCGTGGCAGTCACCTGGGGGGCGGGAACCCCAAAAATGGAACTGGGAACCCCAAAAATTGAACTGGGAACCCCAAAAATGGACAAACAGACCCCAAAAATGGAACTGGGAACCCCAAAAATGGAACTGGGAACCCCAAAAATGGACAAACAGACCCCAAAAAGGGAACTGGGAACCCCAAAAAGGGACAAGCAAACCCCAAAAATGGAACTGGCAAGCCCAAAAAGGGACCTGCACCGAGCAGTCGCGCTCGTAGAGATGGACCACGTTCCCGTGGCAGTCACCTGGGGGGCGGGAACCCCAAAAATGACCTGGGAACCCCAAAAATGGACTAATAGAGCCCAAAAATGGAACTGGGAACCCCAAAAAGGGACAAGCAAACCACAAAAATGGAACTGGCAACCCCAAAATGGAACTGCGAACCCCAAAAGTGCAACTGGGAGCCCCAAAAATGGACAAACAGACCCCAAAAATGGACTAACACACCCCAAAAACGGGCTAAGAGACCCCAAAAACGGGCTAAGAGACCCCCAGGCGGGCCGTACCCAGGATCTGGACCTCGATGTGCCGCGGGCGCTCGATGAATTTCTCCACGAACAGGTCCCCGTTGCCGAAGGCGGCCAAAGCCTCCGAGGTGGCGCGGGAGAAGTTCTCCTCCAGCTCCTGCGGGACCCCAAAAGTGTCTCCCCAAATTCCAGGGATTCCCCCAAAACCCAGGGACCCCAAAACCCAGGGACCCCCAAAACCCAGGGATCTTAAATCCAGTGACCCCAAAATTGAGGATATCCCTGCCTCGAGTTCCCCCAGAAACACAGGGACCCCAAATCTTGGGGATCCCAAATCTAGGGTACGCAAAATTCCGGGGTCTTCCCAAATCTGGGATCTCCTTTCTCCCCCCCCACCACATTACCCCAAATTTGGGTATCCCAAAACCTGGGGTACCTCAAACCCTGGGGTTCCCCCCACCCCAATTTTGGGGTCCTCCCAGATCCAGGATTTGGGGCTCCTGAGAGTTGGGATTGCTGCAGATTTGGGGGTCTGGGGACGTGAGAGCTCCTGGAATTTTGGGGTTCCGGGAATTTGGGGTTCCTGGAGAACCCCAGTCCCGGGTATTTGGGGTCCAGGGATTTGGGGTTCTGGGATTTGGGGTTGCTGGGGAATTTCATTTCCCACTGGTTTGGGATTCTGGGGATTTGGCATTTTGAGTTATTTGTGTTCCTTTGCATTGGGGGTCTGGGGGATTTGAGGTCTGGGGGATTTGGGGTCTGGGGGATTTGGGGTCTGGGATGGCGATGGCCCGGGCCTCCACTTTGTCGCCCATCTTGCGGACCACCTCGGGCCGCGGCCCCACGAAGCGCACGCCGGCGTCCAGGCAGGCCTGGGCGAAGTCCGCCCGCTCCGACAGGAAGCCGTAGCCGGGGTGGATGGCGTCCACCTCGTTCTCCTGGCCACGGGGACGGCGGCTACCGGGGGGCTCGGGGCCACCACGACCCCCCCAGGGGCCACCAGGACATCTCCAGGGCCACCAAGGCACCCCAGGGACCACCGGGACATCCCCAGGGGCTACCGGGGGGCTCGGGGATGGCGGGACACCCCCTGGGAACGCCAGGGCACCCCTGGGGTCACCACGACACCCCCAGGGCTTTGGGGCCACCAGGGCACCCCCAGGGACCACCACGACCCCCCCAGGGGCACCAGGACATCTCTGGGGCCACCACAACACCCCCAGGGGCCACCACGGCACCCCCAGGGGCCACCAGGACAACCCCAGGGGCTACCGGGGGCCTTGGGGACATCGGGACATCCCTGGGGCCACCAGGCCACCCCCAGGGCTTTGGGGGGCTTGTGGGGCCACCAGGACACCCCCAGGGCCACCAGGACATCTCTGGGGCCACCACAACACCCCCAGGGCTTTGGGGCCACCAGGGCACCCCCAGGGACCACCACGACCCCCCCAGGGGCCACCAGGGCACCCCCGGGGCCACCAGGACATCTTTGGGGCCACCAGGGCACCCCCAGGGACCACCACGACCCCCCCAGGGGCACCAGGACATCTCTGGGGCCACCACAACACCCTCAGGGCTTTGGGGCCACCAGGGCACCCCCAGGGACCACCACGACCCCCCCAGGGGCCACCAGGGCACCCCCGGGGCCACCAGGACATCTTTGGGGCCACCAGGGCACCCCCAGGGACCACCACGACCCCCCCAGGGGCACCAGGACATCTCTGGGGCCACCACAACACCCCCAGGGCTTTGGGGCCACCAGGGCACCCCCAGGGACCACCACGACCCCCCCAGGGGCACCAGGACATCTCTGGGGCCACCACAACACCCTCAGGGCTTTGGGGCCACCAGGGCACCCCCAGGGACCACCACGACCCCCCCAGGGGCCACCAGGGCACCCCCGGGGCCACCAGGACATCTTTGGGGCCACCAGGGCACCCCCAGGGACCACCACGACCCCCCCAGGGGCACCAGGACATCTCTGGGGCCACCACAACACCCCCAGGGCTTTGGGGCCACCAGGGCACCCCCAGGGACCACCACGACCCCCCCAGGGGCACCAGGACATCTCTGGGGCCACCACAACACCCTCAGGGCTTTGGGGCCACCAGGGCACCCCCAGGGACCACCACGACCCCCCCAGGGGCCACCAGGGCACCCCCGGGGCCACCAGGACATCTTTGGGGCCACCAGGGCACCCCCAGGGACCACCACGACCCCCCCAGGGGCACCAGGACATCTCTGGGGCCACCACAACACCCCCAGGGCTTTGGGGCCACCAGGGCACCCCCAGGGACCACCACGACCCCCCCAGGGGCACCAGGACATCTCTGGGGCCACCACAACACCCTCAGGGCTTTGGGGCCACCAGGGCACCCCCAGGGACCACCACGACCCCCCCAGGGGCCACCAGGGCACCCCCGGGGCCACCAGGACATCTTTGGGGCCACCAGGGCACCCCCAGGGACCACCACGACCCCCCCAGGGGCACCAGGACATCTCTGGGGCCACCACAACACCCCCAGGGGCCACCACGGCACCCCCAGGGGCCACCAGGACAACCCCAGGGGCTACCGGGGGCCTTGGGGACATCGGGACATCCCTGGGGCCACCAGGACACCCCCAGGGCCACCAGGACATCTCTGGGGCCACCACAACACCCTCAGGGCTTTGGGGCCACCAGGGCACCCCCAGGGACCACCACGACCCCCCCAGGGGCCACCAGGGCACCCCCGGGGCCACCAGGACATCTTTGGGGCCACCAGGGCACCCCCAGGGCTTTGGGGTGGCACCCCCGGGGGCCACCAGGACACCCCCAACGTCCCCTCTCTGTGTCCCCCTCCCAGTGCTCCCAGGTGTGTCCCAGGTGTGTCCCCAGGCGTCCTCAGGTGTGTCCTAAATGTCCCCAGGGATGTCCTAGCTGTCCCCAGCTGTATCTCAGCTGCGTCCCCACCATGTCCCCAGGTGTGTCCCAGGTGTGTCCCACCTGTCCCCAGGTGTGTCCCAGCTGTCCCCAGGGGTGTCCCAGGTGTGTCCCACCTGTCCCCAGGTGTGTCCCAGCTGTCCCCAGGTGTGTCCCACCTGTCCCCAGGTGTGTCCCAGCTGTCCCCAGGTGTGTCCCACCTGTCCCCAGCTGTATCCTAAGTGTCCCCAGGTGTGTCCCAGCTGCGCCCCCCGATGTCCCCAGCTGTGTCCTAAGTGTCCCCAGCTGTCCCCAGGTGTCCCCAGCTGTGTCCTAAGTGTCCCCCTGGGGACCCCCTGGGGACATGGGGACACTCTGGGGACGCCCTGGGGACACTCTGGGGACACTCTGGGGACATGGGGACACTCTGGGGACACTCTGGGGACACTCTGAGGACACCCTGGGGACACCCTGGGGACATGGGGACACTCTGGGGACACCCTGGGGACACTCTGGGGACATGGGGACACTCTGGGGACACCCTGGGGACACTCTGGGGACACGGCCACCGTGCAGATCCTCAGCTCTGTGCACACCCAGGACACGTGGACGGTGACTTCACCTTGGGGACATGGGGGCACCTTGGGGACACCTTGGGGACACCTTGGGGGGCACTTGAGGACACGGGGACACTTTAGGGACACGTTGGAGACATGGGGACATTTTGGGGGCACCCTGGGGACACCTTGGGGACACGGGGACAGCGGCATGGCAACCTCACCTGGGGTCACACGGGGTCGGGGGGGATTCAAGGGACATCGGGGGC